TTCTAGGGTTTGCCATATTCCGTTGTACGAATTCTGACAAGCACTACCACCAACCAAGCGTTAGTCTTCTACTAAGCATCTGAACTCCTATTGCATTGCAACCACACAACGAACTACGGTACAATGCCCCCCCCATCGGGTTTTCTACCACTTGTCAATGAGGCTTAGGCTCGAAGAAGTGGTCAATGAGGCTTGGGCACAAAGCCATCGACTGCGAAGTTGCGAGTGGCGGAGGGCAGCTTGAGGCGCAGCCCGTTAAGGTCCTTGGTGGCTATCACTTGGCACCCCAGGCGCGACCTGTGGAGGAGCCACGTGCAGCAGCCGCAGCAGCAGCGGCACCAGTGGTAGGGGTGGCGGGGGCAGCGGGGGCGGCAGGGGTGGCAGGGGTGGCAGGGGCGGCAGGGGTGGCAGGGGCGGCAGGGGTGAGGGAGAGACGGGAGATGCGCACGTCCTCAGTGGCTGCGGGCAGCAGCAGTTGCAATCCATCCAGCTCCCTGGCCGCTATGATCTGACAGCCAAGGCGCGACCTACGGCCACACAAGCACACACGAGCAGGTGGGCGCGGTGAGGTGAGCTCACAGAGGGCTCAGTGCATGAAGAGGTAGTGGAATCGTATAGATACAGTTGATGCAGAGGCTTCACGTGGAATGGATTAAGTAGAGAGGACTCACGTCTCTGTGAGGCCGAAGGCGAGGTCGAGCATGTCGTTCTCCTCGTCCGTTGGCTCAGGCATCTTGCTGTACTGCTCCTCGTCCTGCCCACCCCGCATGGCCGCATTGCACGCACGCATGCACGATGAATGGCACGTGTGGATGATGACTGGCATGCATGGACGATGAATGGCATGTGTGGATGATGGCATGTGTGGATGATGGCATGTGTGGATGATGGCATGTGTGGATGATGGCATGTGTGGATGATGGCATGTGTGGATGATGAATGGCATGTGTGGATGATGAATGGCATGTGTGGATGATGAATGGCATGTGTGGATGATGAATGGCATGTGTGGATGATGGCATGTGTGGATGATGGCATGTGTGGATGATGGCATGTGTGGATGATGGCATGTGTGGATGCTGGCATGTGTGGATGATGGCATGTGTGGATGATGGCATGTGTGGATGATGGCATGTGTGGATGATGGCATGTGTGGATGATGGCATGTGTGGATGATGAATGGCATGTGTGGATGATGAATGGCATGTGTGGATGATGGCATGTGTGGATGATGGCATGTGTGGATGATGGCATGTGTGGATGATGGCATGTGTGGATGATGGCATGTGTGGATGATGGCATGTGTGGATGATGGCATGTGTGGATGATGGCATGTGTGGATGATGGCATGTGTGGATGATGGCATGTGTGGATGATGAATGGCATGTGTGGATGATGAATGGCATGTGTGGATGATGAATGGCATGTGTGGATGATGAATGGCATGTGTGGATGATGGCATGTGTGGATGATGGCATGTGTGGATGATGGCATGTGTGGATGATGAATGGCATGTGTGGATGATGGCATGTGTGGATGATGAATGGCATGTGTGGATGATGAATGGCATGTGTGGATGATGAATGGCATGTGTGGATGATGAATGGCATGTGTGGATGATGGCATGTGTGGATGATGGCATGTGTGGATGATGGCATGTGTGGATGATGGCATGTGTGGATGATGACATGTGTGGATGATGGCATGTGTGGATGATGGCATGTGTGGATGATGGCATGTGTGGATGATGGCATGTGTGGATGATGGCATGTGTGGATGAATGGCATGTGTGGATGATGAATGGCATGTGTGGATGATGATGGCATGTGTGGATGATGGCATGTGTGGATGATGGCATGTGTGGATGATGGCATGTGTGGATGATGGCATGTGTGGATGATGGCATGTGTGGATGATGGCATGTGTGGATGATGAATGGCATGCATAGACGATGCATGGCTTCCCAATAATGAACCAGGACGGTATGTGCATGCCACAGGCACTGGAATGAAAACACACCATGACGATGACGTGGCAGGTGGAGCAGGCGAGCGATGCTTCGCAGGCACCTGGCACACATATGGCACGAGCAGCACACACGGCATGCATGCAAGAAGATGAACACCAAAGAAATCATGTTTACACACATCACTCTACAGTGTGAGCAACTGGGGATCCATTGTTTTTGTGTTGCACTTCATATCGATGCAAGTACGAGAGGGCCTTGTGGTGAAGGTGTGTGCAGGGAGCGGCACAAAGGTGGGAGCAGGGAGGGAGGGGCACCTTCGAGGTCGATGTCGTTGTCATGTGCGGCCTGCAGCATGTTGGTGCCCACAACACACCTTCAAGGTCGATATCGTTGTCATGTGCGGCCTGCAGCATGTTGGTGCCCACCGACACCTGCACCACCGCCTCGCTGCCGTCCCTCTGCACAAACGTCACCTCGATGCTGCCCCACCGCACCCCGTACACCGCAGGTGTAGGCAGCATGCAGGGCAGCACGCACAGGGGGCACACACACATGTATGCAACCGCAATGAGACGAATGGACAGGAATGAGAACCACAGGAGATCGCAGGCTATTGCGTGAGGACACAAGGACAGATGTATCATCGCCTCGGCAGTACCTCTCTTCTGCATCATCGGGTGTGGAGTGCGAGGCAGGCGCAGAGGGTGCTTCCGATGCCGCTGCTGCCCTTGGTGCTGAACCCCATGCCGACGCCAGAGCTGCCATGCATGCACCCAGGGATGCCACACACACACACCCCATGGGAACGGAAGGATGGCAAACAAGATACAGCAGCATGATACGATGCGGTGGACTATGTTGCTGCTGCTACACTAGTGTACAGACGCACCACACACACACCCCACTTGTAATCACTATGTTGCACCTAATGCTCGAATTCTCAAGTGTCAAGCGTCTGCACGCTGGACGCGTCATATTGGTTTGACCTACATATTTTGTTTGACCACAAATGGGATGCTAGCCGGAGGAGAATAAAGATTGGTGACCAGCAATCTTGACCCTAGAATCGGTGGATGCAAGCGATGGTGATTACAATCACTGCAGACCCAATCAGCCACTGCTTTTTGCGATTCTGACATCCAACACCCACCCACCCACACACTCACCCACCCTTGCACCCACCCACCCACCCATGCACCCACGCACGAACGCACGCACGCACGAACTCATGCACGTGCCACGCGTGCGCATAAAGAGGGTCGAAGCACACAGAGAGGGAAACACACCTGCAGGAGTGGTGAAGCATCTGAGCTGCTCCATGCTGTGGCCTCCCGCCCTTAGTGGCGCTCGCACCTCACACTCGCTGGCGCGGGGCGGATGGGGGGAGAGACGGGGGAAAAGGGCAGAGGAGTTAAACCAGGAATGAGGAAAGCAGTCGAGGTGAGTGATGGAGTGGAGGTGGAGGTGAGGAGGGCGAGAGAGAGAGAGGAGGGCGAGAGAGAGAGAGGAGGGCGAGAGGGAGAAGGGCGAGAGAGAGAGGAGGGCGAGAGGGAGAAGGGCGAGAGAGAGGAGGGCGAGAGAGAGGAGGGCGAGAGAGAGGAGGGCGAGAGAGAGGAGGGTGATAGAGAGGAGGGCGAGAGAGAGGAGGGCGAGAGAGAGGAGGGCGAGAGAGAGGAGGGCGAGAGAGAGGAGGGCGAGAGAGAGGAGGGCGAGAGAGAGGAGGGCGACAGTGAGCAGCAGCGAGTGCGCACTCATTGCTTTCTCTTGCCCTTCTCCCCAAGAAGCCAAAAAGTTTAGGCCAGCCCTCAGACCAGGCCAGCCCTCAGACCAGGCCAGCCCTCAGACCAGGCCAGCCCTCAGTCTAGGCCAGCCCTCAAATAGCTATCCTCACTCTCTTCCATGGCCACTCACCCCCCCTCCACTCACCTCACCCTCGCCTGCATCGCCTGCCTCATCCGCCCGCCACCCGCCGCTGCAGCCGCCGCGCTGCTGGAGTGTATGTGCGCATGGGTGCTGCTGCAGCACGCATGCGATGCCCGCGACGCCTGCCATGTATGCGTCGATTGCGATGCCGGCGATGCCTGTGGTGTGTGCGACGGCGCGGGAATGGTGGCGGTGGCAGTGGGCAGAGGGGCAATCGACCTCGAGATCTGCACGAGCGAGGGGATTAGGGCTGGGAATGAGTGGCGGGATGGGTGGTGACGAGTGGGTGCCGACGAGTGGGTGGCGACGAGTGGGTGGCGGGAGTGCCCCCCGCAACATGGATCCACGTACCTCCCCTCTCCCTCCTCTCCCATCCCAAACGCCACACCACACACGCGTTGCCTCGCCACTCTCGCCTGATCGGCGGGTGGAATTATATGATAAGCGGGTGGAATCACCTGATCGTTGGGCCGTGCAAATGCGCGAATCAAGCGGCGGTTTGATTGGATGGCAGCGGAAAGTCGCTGCCGCGCGGCCGACATGGCGACGAGTGAGATCGGAAAAATCTAGAACTGAGTCCTGAATATGACGTGGTCGAGTCGAGTGAGTACGTTAGGTTGTCTTCGTGTGATTAGGTTAGGCGAATTCTCTGGGGCTTTAATACGGGAGATCACGGTATTTCCTAAAAGAGTTAGGGTTGTGCATGATAATGGTGTATCGTAGAGATTTCTTACACAGATATAGTTGCGAATGTGTAACAATCAAGCTCCAAAACTTCGCCTAACACCTGCTTCGTCAGGTAACATCAGTTACCTCCACTCTGATCGTCTCGCCATCGTCCCACAAATGCAGCAAACCATCCCATCAAACCATCTCAACTCCCCCACCCACCCCGCACCTCCGACGCCTATGTCACGAACTCCCTAGCCGCCATTCAAACGTACCTCTCAACACTACGTCCTAATCTTCGCATCAAGCGTGCCTTCGTCGATTGGGTGCACCCGTTTCCGCATCCCTCCCGCCGCTAAAGCCTGCTTCCCGCGCGCTGAATGACCCGCGCATCCTCTGCGCACCCTCCCGCTGCTCAAGCCTGCCCCCTGCGCGCAGAATGACCCGCTCGCAAGGCCATGGCAGAGTCGGCGCGTTTCGCGCGCGGAGCCACCATGGCGTTGCGCTGCTGTCGCTAGTGGCGGCGATCGTCCTGGCGGGACTCATTCGTCCAGTCGCGCCGTCCACCGACGCTCCGGCGCTGCACGGTGCGGATCGACCGCGCATTCATCCCAGCGCTGCAAGCCACCCGTCTGTGCCAATTCAGGATCGCTCGCTCACCGTTCGATCCTCGAGCAGTTTTGAGATGTAGCAACTGCTACTTTTGAGGCACCTCAAGAGATGTAGCAACCGCTTGCACGAACATCCGCCACCTCACTTCTTCCCGAACTCACCAACCCACCCCCCTTCCCCCAACCTCTCTTCCCCTCTCTCTCACACCTCCTCCCCTCCCCTCCCCCACTCTCCGTCCCTCCCGGTTTCCCCTCCCCGCGCGCTCCCTTTCTCTTTCCAGAGTGCGACACGTCGGATCCGCTATTCTCGCCGCTCTCGCGCTCAACCCCCAACGCTCCCCTCCGACTTCCCTTCCATTCTCCCCCTCCCCCGCGTCCCTCCCGGTTTCCCACTCCCCCGCTTTCCAGAGTGCGACTCGTCGGACCCGCTATTCTCGCCGCTCTCGCGCTCCGCGGGGGACCACGCGCACCGCTACCAGCGCCCGGCGCACCAGTGCTGGAGCAAGGCGGAGATGCCGTGCTACGCGGGGAGCCGCGGCATGGCGGCGCGCTCCGAGACGCTCAAGCGCAAGCTCCGCGCGTACCACGAGTACCGGCGCGAGTGCGACGCGAAGGAAGACATCACGTCCTTGAAGACAAAGCTGCGCGCGGGGAACGCGACGGAGTGCAGATACCTGCTATGGCACTTCAAGCCCGGCGACGGGCAGGGAAACCAGTTCATCTCGCTGGTGTCCGCGTTTGTGTACGCGCTGCTAACGAACCGCGTGTTTCTGCTCTTAACGGGGATGGGACCGGCGAAGCTGATGTGCCAGCCGTTTGAGGGCGCGCCGTGGTTCGTGTATTCAGACGTGCCAGACGAGCGGTGGGATGCCACGCTGGTGGGCATGCGCATCGCCTATCAGTACTTCCCGGATCGAGTGGTGGCTATTCAGAACGGCACCAGCGACACCATGGACGTGCCTAACATGTGAGGCAGTTCGTTTGTGAGAAATTTCAGGAACCAACAAGCCCAAGATGTGTTAGGGCTCATGTTGCAGCTGCCTCCCCTCCTCACCTTACCACCGTCACATTCCCTTCTCATCTACCCATCCCAACCCCTCTTTTGCTCCCGTGCACGTCCCACCCCTTCGTCCCCCCTCCCACCCCCCCAATCAGCGCGCAGGTGAGTCTACACCACACGGAGCGCAACACGAGCCTCTTCTTCTGCCCTTCAGAGCAGCAGTGGCTGGCACTGTATATTAGGCGCCTCAAAACTCTCCCCCCCCCCCCCCCCCCCTCCCCACCTCCCCACCTCCCCACCTCCCCCCCTCCCCCCCTCAGCGCGCAGGTGAGCCTACACCACACGGAGCAGAACACGAGCATCTTCGTCTGCGCCTCAGAGCAGAGCTGGCTCGCCCGCGTGCCCTCAATCCTACTCCTGGCCAACCAGTTCTTCCTGCCCTCGCTCTTCCACCACCCCTCCTTTCCCCGTCCCCTCCTTCTCCTCTCAGCGCGCAGGTGAGCCTACACCACACGGAGCAGAACACGAGCATCTTCTTCTGCCCTTCAGAGCAGACCTGGCTCGCCCGCGTGCCCTCAATCCTACTCCTCGCCAACCAGTTCTTCCTGCCCTCGCTCTTCCACCACCCCTCCTTCCGCCGCCACATACAAGACCTCTTCCCCTCGGGCCGCATCTTCCAGACCGTCTCCCAGCTCGTCATGTTCCCCAACAACCGCCTCTGGGCGGCCATAACGGACAACATTCACCGCCGGGCGGCGCCGGCCGCCGCCCGGGTGGGGCTGCAGTTGCGGCACTGCAGCGCGGATATTATATCGCAGGCGGCAGAGTGCGTGGTGCAGGTGGCGCAGGGGGAGGCTGTAACGGAGGGGAGAAGAGAGAGGGAGAAGAAAGATGGGGAGAGAGAGGCGGGAGGGGAGCCTGGTGGGGTGGGGGTGGTGGGAGGCGTGGGGGGAGCGGGTGGGGGTGGTGCTGTGGTGGGCAGTGGGGAAGCAGCAGCAGCAACAGCAGCAGCAGCAGCAGCAGCTGGGACGGGTGAGGCGACGGCGTATGGAATGGGTGTGGCGTCAGAGGAAGGGACTTCTGCTGCCGTTGCGGTTGCTCTCGCTTTGGAAAAGGGGGGCGCACCTGCTGCTGCCGCCGCCGCCGCCGCAGCTGCTACCGGTGCTGATGCTGGTGCGGCTGCTGCATCAGGGAGCAGTGGCAGCGCGAGTGAGGGCGGAGGCGGCGTGGGGAGTTGGAGCAGCTCAACCGTTGTGCTCATTGCTGCTCTCTACGAGTATGCTCCCTACAACCTCTCGCTGCTGCTCTTCCCCAATGCTCCCTCCTCCCCACTCACATACACCAAGGTTGTTGTCACAGACAGCAGCAGCAATGACACTAGTGACAGCAGCACGGGCGCGAACAACAGCACTCAGACTGACTCTCCTGCGACAGACCCCAGCAGCACCACTGCAATCACCACAAGCAAAGAAACCACCACCAACATCAACATCAACAGCAGCAGCAGCAGCGCGGCCACCCCAGATCTCACCCCATCAAGCACAGTGATCAGCATCCCTGCCAGCAGCAGTGACATCACGAACAGCAGCATCATCAGCAATGGCACCTTCTCCCTGGACCGCCTCACCACAGAGACAGCTCAGACCGGGCTGGACACGGAGGTGCAGCACGCCATCATCGACATCTACACCCTCGCGCTCGCCTCTGACGCCATTCTCATCTTCCCCACCTCTACATTTGGGTACCTCCTCTCCTCGCTCTTCGGTCGGCCGGCGTTTTTTGTCTCTCAGGGCTGCCAGCCGGCCCCGTTGGAGCCGTGCTATCAGCACCCCCCGCAGCCGCACCAGTGCTCGGATGGGCAGCAAGTGGGAGTGCCGCCGTTTAGTGATCTGTTTGGTATGTGTCCGGATGTATTTAATGGGCTCTCTCTGCTCTACGGTAGATCACCTTAGACGAGTAAAGGAACCAAGAGGGAAGTCAGGGAGTATATATATATGTATGTTTCATTCATCTGATCATTCCTTGTCTGTAACGCTAACTCTTAACATATCAATGATCTACAACTATCCGTTGGAACAGATGACTTCTGACTTCTGTCTGTAACGCTAACTCTAACATATCAATGATCTGTTGTAATTTCTGCCATCCTAATTTGTCTCTGGTGTTAAAGCCAGCAGCAGGCCTCACGTTTTCAGAGTAAATTACTCTGTTTCTCTGAAAATCAGAGTCATTTTTGAAAGTAACTCTGTACCCGCTGGGTAATTTTTTTGGGACTTCCGATTTCTCTGATTTGTCAGAGTTATGCTGTAGTTTACTCTGAGGCCTCTGGGCAGGGCCTCAGATTCCAGGAATTTTACCCTGATTTCCTGATGTTTGACCCCGGTTTTTTATTGTAACCCTGATGAATCAGCCTTTTTGTTTTTACAACCCTGATGAATCAGTGTTTTTCTTTTCCTAATCCTGATTTTCCGGTGTTTCTAGTTTGTCGACACTGGCGAGTCAGTGTTGTATCGGAGACGACCCTGAAACCGAAAACTCCGTGATTCTCGCAGTTTTGCGCGCCGTCATCATGCATGAACCCACCCTGCACCGACGCCACCCTGCGGCGCGCCCAGATACAGTTGAACGGGTTAATTTCGGGCTGTGTTGGCAAAACAGCGTAAAGAGATTGGCTGTCCCAGCTGAAGCAATGTACCGTTGTCACGTTGGATAACCTACACTTGTCATTACTTTCCATTGATGTGCACAAACAACCAAGCCTAGTGGCCCAGTGGGCCAGTGGTCTGCCTTGTTCTTTCCACCAAGGCAGGGCGTGCTGGGGCGGCCCGCTCAGGCACCCCACGCAGGGGGTCTCGTGATTCTGCCATTCCAGCTCTCCAGACTCCATCCCTTTCCGAAACATCAATCTCTGCAGTCTCCCTGAAGCCTGCTCGGCAGGCTCTCTCTCTCCCATGGTTTCTCGTTACTACTCACCGATTCAGGAAGGTGACGTGAACGCGCCATGGCGATCACCGGTGAGAACAGCTGCGGTGATGATGACGACGATGCACTTTACGCTGCCACCGAGATGCTGGAGGCCAGAACGGGACTAGATTTTCTAGTTTCCGTGCTCTCCCATGAAAAAGAGAAGCCAGGTCCCGTCGCCTCAGTAGCAAACACTGGTGAAGCGTCTGGCCTCTGCCGCGGAGACGGTCGTCCCCAGCCCGCGCATACTGCTAAGCCGGCCGTGCCGTCAGCAGCCGGACCGAGCGTCCGCTTGCCATCTCGTGCGTCGTCGTCGAAGCCTCCGCCTCGTTACAAGCAGGCCGTGCTCCGTTGGGCCGATCCTACAGATCCTGGACGTCCTCTCGCTGATGCCGGCGAGTCGGTAAACCACGTTACGCCCACGCCATCTAACTCTAAAAAACCGTCACTAACCACTCTGATTTACGAAGAGGCCCTTGAAACGTTCAAGTCGACGTGGTCGACCGACTACCCATGGCTCATCCTCATAAAAAACACTGCTGGCATGCCTGCGTTCAAGTGCAGATTGTGCATCGACTTTGCAGGTGACGGTGGCAAGTGTGGCAAGAGTGGGCTGGGCACGGTGCAACCGATCTTCAGACCCAAGCCTTCAAGCGGCATGCCGCGACGAACAAGCACCAGTTGGCCATCAATCACCAGAAGCAGATGCTAGCTCAGGCTGGGATGCGCGGCTGTCGGACCTCATGTGCATGGCATTGCTGCCGTACGAGCCCGACTGGGCGGAGGTGGTGAAGATCTGGAGGGCGTACAAGAAGCGCAAGCCCATCACAACAGTGGCAGCACCAAAGAAGCAACCTAGTGCTAAGGGGAAAGAGAAGGTGGACGAGGATGATGCTGGTGGTGCTGGCTCTGGGTGGGGGACAGAGACCCCCGTGCACAGGCACGGTTCTATGAGCGATGGTGGTGGTAGTGACGAAGATGAAGACATGTGTGTGATGTGAATTGTGTGTGCGGTGTGAGCGCCAAGTGGTCTGTGCCTGTAGTTAGATTAGAAGCTCATTAGAACCATATTTGAACTTTTCTTAACTTATTATACTTGTGATACCGGTAGTTGTTGTGGATTCTCACCGCCAGTGTTTTTTTAAAACTCACGCTGATGTGTCAGGGTTTTTTTATTTTTCTAACCCTGAGAAATCAGTGTTTCTCCATTTACAACCCTGATGATCAGTGTTACAGCCCCAAAGGACCCTGAGTGCTCAGGGTCACCCAAAACGAATCTGAGGCCCTGCCTCTGGGTTTTTTTTCCGGGGACCGAATTTACTCTGTATAGGGAATACCTGCCGGCCCCCCCTCCCCCGCCCCCCTCCCCTCCCCACCTCCCCCTGCGTTTAGCGGGTTTTCCCCGAATCGTCGAGATCATTCTCCTGATTTCTGTCGTGTGTTGGCGGCAATATGAGCACTGATTGGCTACCGTAGTTTGACAACTTTCCCAACCAGCGCACGATGCCAGCCAGTCCCCTCTCTCTTTATGTCTGAAGTGAACGTCGACGTTTCCCGACGAAACTTTGAGGGACGTCGAGGAATCCTGACGGTCGGAACGCTCGATCCGAGGGTTGAGATTCGCCAGCATTCCCCGACGAAACTGTACATCCGTCGACATTTCACTTCAGACACGCTCTTTGGGGGTGTCCGAAGTGAAACGTCGACATCCGTGGACATCCGTTTGGGGATGTCGGTAAATCCTGACGGTTGGAACTGTCGATCCGAGGGATGACATTTACCGACATCCAGCGACATCTATTGACGTTTCACTTCGGACACGCCCTTAGTCAGATTATCGGTGCCGCCAACACCTCACTCTGAAACATCGCAGTGAGGGGGGAAACGTGGGCGACGCGGAAATGCAAGTACAAAAGGCGTAACAAAAACCTATTAAGGTCATGGTACACCAAACTTAACTAACATCAGAGTAGAGAAAAATATTACTCTGACGTGCCTGGGTTTTTTTTTGAAAGTATAGGGTTACTCTGACAAATCAGAGTAAGGCGCAGGAACAACCCTAGATTTCAGAGTTGGGAAAAAAACTACTCTGGAAATCAGAGTACCTAAAATCCAAAAATAGGCCCTGGCCAGCAGGCAAAATAGTGACCCCCCCCCTTCTAGTTGGGTCCACTTGAAGATGAAGTATTTTTGTTTTGTTTTGGAATGTTGGAATTGTTGTATGTGTGCTTTTTTTTCCGACCCTCGGACGAGTTTCTTATTGGACCAGGAACGATAGTTCATTGTCAATTCTGATTGGCAGCCAGGTTCTCTCACATGTACATGTGCGAATTTGGCGCAAAGTTGAGCGACGAGCACTCCTGCATTCACTAGAGCCAATACTTCACCAAATTCACAACTAGCAACATCTCACACTAAATCCCAAGCAGACACACATGTACGTGATGAGAGTGAAAGTGTTTGAACGTTATTAGAGCTAGTAGAGCTCTGATCAATGTGCTGCCTTGGACTTGATGTCAAAGTTAGCAGGCAGAAACAGAATTGAAGAAAGGAGGGGGTTTCACTAGCAGCAGTTGGGATACATATAGCAAACCCTAACTGGGTTGTACCCGCTATAGAGCACCCCACTACAGGCTAGATACCGGTAATAACTGTCAGATTTATATGACATAGCTACTGTAGGCTATAGTGGGGTAGCACATATGGGGTACAGTTTTCTAGGGTTTGCTTTTGTACCCAACTTTCCTTTAGTCATCCCATTCCTCGTTTCTTTTCATGGTATCGAGCAGGTTCCCTAGTGGGAACACTTCCTAGGGCCCACCACGAATTTTTTTTCCTGCCCGGAGCGCGCTTCGCTCCTGCCCGAGTCGCACCCTGTGTGCCCTCCCTACCGTCGCGCCCTCTCACGGCCCCTCACGGCCCCTTCGCGTCGCCCTTAGCGGCCCCTCTCACGGCCCCTTGCGCCGCCCTTACGGCCCCTCGTGCCACCCTTACGGCCCCTTGCGCCGCCCTTACGGCCCCTTACGGCCCCTCGCGCCGCCCGTCGGCCCCTCGCGCCGCCCTTAGCGGCCCCTTACGGCCCCTCGCGCCGTCCCTTACGGCCCCTCGCGCGGCCCCTTACGCCCCTTACGGCCCCTCCCGCGGCCCCTCACGGCCCCCTACGGCCCGTCGCCGTCCTCCGCGGCCCCTCGCGCCGCCCTATCACGGCCCGTCGCCGCCCTACGCGGCCTCTCGCGGCCCTGTCGCCGCCCCCCTCCGGCCCGCCGTCGCCGCCCCTGCCGCAGCAGCCGCCGCAGTCCCTACAGCAGCGGCCGCGGCCGTCGCCAGCAGCAGCCGCCACCACCTCCCTCGGGGCCGCAGCTGCTGCCGCCGCTGACTGCACCCGCCAGTGCGCCTCGGCCCTACCGGCGCCGCTCCACCCGGCCCCGCCGCCGCTCCCCGCGCGGCCCCGCCGTCACCACCGAGCCGCCGGCGCCGCCGAGCTGCTGCCGAGCTGCCCGATCCACCCGAGCCGCCCGAGCCGCCGCGCCACCTGAGCCGCCCGTGCTGCCGAGCCGCCGTACCGCCGAGCCGCCCGAGCCGCCCGAGCCGCCGAGTCGCCGAGCCGCTGTTGCTGCCGAGCCGCCGTACCGCCGAGCCGCCCGAGCCGCCCGAGCCGCCGAGTTGCCGAGCCGCTGAGCCGCCGAGCCACCCGAGCCGCCCTGTCTGGTAAGAGCAGCGCCTCTGTCACTGCACTGCCCTTACCCTACTGTTCGCGCTGCTAGTCTACTGCTGTCATGGCTACCCCTAGTGTCCTCGCTTTTGACGCTGAGGGTCGGGCCATTGACTTTGAGGTCTGGGTAGATGACCTGCAGCTTTTCCTACAGTGCGATAGGGCAGACGGTCTCTCCCTCTTTGACCTCACCTCTGGTGCCTCTCCTGCCCCTGCTGCTGATGCCGACGCCACTGTTCGCTCACAGTGGGCCACTCGCGATGCTGCTGCACGTCTTGCTGTGCGTCGCCACCTGCCTACCTCTGAGCGTGCGCACTTTAGCCAGTACAAGAGTGCTCAGACCTTGTACGACGCTGTAGTTGCGCGCTACTCCTCCCCTGCCACTGCTGCACTGAGCCGCCTCATGCTACCGTACCTCTTCCCTGACCTTGCTGCCTTTCCCACAGTCGCTGACCTCATTACGCACCTCCGCACTAGTGACACTCGCTACCGCGCTGCGCTTCCTGCTGAGTTCTGCGCCAAGAACCCCCCCCCCATGTACATCACCCTCTACTACATAGTCACCCGGCTCCCTGACTCCTTTCGCGTAGTCAGGGACCACTTCCTCTCAGTTTGCCCCACCACTCTCACCGTTGACCTCCTCGAGAAGGCCCTCCTAGCAGCAGAGAAGAGCATAGTAGCTGTAGGAGCCTCTCGTGGTGACCCTCACACCCCCATCTTTGAGGGGTGTTCCCCCTCCCCCCTTTTGCCCTCTGTTGCCTCTGCTGCTGCGGCCGACCTCGTTGGGCTTGAGTCGGTCGGTGCGGCGTCTACCCCTAGCGGGAGACGCCGCCCTGGCAAGGGCAAGGGGGGCAGGGGCACTGGAGGAGCTAGCGGGAGCGGTGGAGGCGGCGGTGGAGGCGGTGGAGGGGGTGGGGGTGGCGGTGGGGGTGGTGGCGGGGGTGGAGGTGTCGGTGGCGGCAGTGGAGGCGGAGGCGGCGGCGGCGGTGGCGGTGGGAGCGGAGGTGGCGGCGGTGGAGGAGGCGGCGGCGGAGGAGGTGGAGCTGGTCGGGGTGGCGCTGCGCAGAGGGTCGGCTCCGGTGGTGGTCAGCGCCAGCAGCAGCAGCAGCAGCAGCAGCGCACTCGTGACATCCCCCCCCCTCAGCAGCTCCGTGAGTGGTACGCTGCACGCCAGCGGGGTGGGGGTACTGGTCCGTGCACCTACGTCCTACGCACCGGAGACCGCGCGGGTGAGCAGTGCTGGGGTGCGCACTCCACCCAGCGCTGCTTTGGCCGCCTGACGGACGCTTGGCGTCACCAGTTCCCTGAGGCCACTGAGATCCCCCGTTGGGGTGAGCTGTCTAGGGCGGGTGTAGCTGTCTTTGACCTTGACTTTGATGCTATTCTTGCTGCCATGTATACTGTGACTATTAGTGATGAGGGTGACTGTTACCGGTGTTTTCCGCCCGACCCGGGCATTGAGTCTGCTGCTCTAGGTACTGGTGAGGCTGCTGCTCTAGGTGCTAGCGAGGCTGTTGCTCTAGGTGCTCGTGCGTCTGCTCCCTCAGGTGCTGGTGAGTCTGCTCTCTCAGGTTCTGCGTCGGCTTCGGCCTCCCACACCTTCACCCTTGACTCGGGGGCTTCTCGCTCCTTCTTTCGAGACCGCACCAGACTCACGCCGCTTGGCCGGCCAGTTGCAGTCTCTCTGACAGACCCCTCTGGGGGTCCTGTCCTTGCTCACTTCTCCACTGTCCTCCCGTGTCCGGCGGCCCCCTCTGGCACCCTGTCTGGTCTTTACCTCCCCTCGTTCTCTACGAACTTGGTGAGTGGTGCTGACCTACAGGATGCGGGGGTTCACCAGTTCACTCCTGCGAGTCAGCGGGTGACCCACTGCACGGACGCTCGGACAGGCCGACACCTGGCCATGTTTACACGTCGGCCGGGGTCGAGCCTGTACACACTGACCACTGCGTCTCCTCCAGTCACTGCGTCTGGTCAGGTAGCTGCGTCGGGTCAGGTGTTTGCTGCAGCGTCCAGGTCTGGTCCTGAGTCTGCCCCCTGTTCGTGTCGCCTTCTGTCTCACGAGACTCTCCTCTGGCACCACCGCCTTGGTCACCCCTCCCTGCTTCGTCTCCGAGGCATGGCCTCCCGTGTCCTTGTCTCTGGTCTTCCCCGGTCCCTCCCTCCCCTTCCTCCGGGGCCTGGCCCTACCTGCGTCCCCTGTGTCGAGGGGCGGCAGCGGGCTGCCCCTCACTCCTCCCAGTTTCCTCCGACAGAGGCCCCGCTGCAGACGCTTCACATGGACGTGTG